GAGAATAAAGAGAAACGCACCTCCTGTCGCTGAGCTCCCCGATGGGAAACCGGGCGGTCCTGTTTCACGGTTTGGGGATTCGTGGAGTGGGAATGTTTTCAAGATCCTGAAATCAGCGGACTGGAGGGTCTGCCAGCGACCCCAGTAGTGGTTGAAATCGGAGCGGCGCTCGCTCGCCTGCGCCGCATCTGTAGATGGTGAAACTGGCCAGGCCCGGGTGGCGCGAGTTTTGGGTGTCGCCGGCCGGCGGGTGGTGGAGGAAGTCCGACGCTCTGTCTTCAACGTCTTGATCTCTCTCTCTTCTGGCACAGACCCTTGCTTTTGGCACGATCTCACCTGGCGTCCTAATTGACAAGGAGCGTGGGGAGAGAAGACGCCTTCACTGTCCTACACGATCTTTCTCATTCCCGGGGCTTTATCGTGATGCTTGAGAAGGTTTTGGGATAAGGCTGTGCTTTTTTTTTTTTTTATTTCAAATCCTTTCCTCCTTTCTGTGCCCAGCGCTTTACAGTTTATAAAGCATTTTTCACCTCTCTTGTCACGTTTAACTTCAGGAGGACTGTGAGGTAGGGGTCACAGGTTAATGGCTTAAAGTTAATGGCGCTGTCAAAGCACTTGACTTGGTAATTAAAAAAATAGAGAAAGGATACACTCCTGTACTAACCGGGCACATAGACTGTCCTTCAGCCCAAATCTCCTGGCTAAGGCACTTGCCAGCCAAGGACAAAAATCCTGGGTGGACAGCTTTCAATTTCTGGCCACTGACAATGAGGAAAAGCATCCTGACTTCTGTCTGGGACGGCTAGACTGTCTATCTGTGCATGGAGAACCTTTGAATTTCACACCTGCAAGGATCCATATAGAGAGAACACCCAACATCTAGACTTTTCTAAGGTCACAAAGCTGGACTTGAATCTGGACCCACTGACAGCAGGGTTAGTGCTCCAGCGCCTTCTGTCTCCAGGTGGTTATTTATCACCGCCAAAATCAGGAAGGACCAGCATCTAGACCTGTACTGTCCAATAGAGCCACGCATTGCTATGCAGCACTTGGCATGTAGCTAGTTCAAATTTAGATGAGGTGAAAATGTAAAATACACTCCAGATTATGGAGACTTAGTATGAAAAAAGTAAAATATCTCAATTTTTATATTATGTTGAGATGCATGTTTTGATATATTGGGTTAAATACAATATATTATTAAATTTCACTTTCATTTTTATGTTATTAATGTGGCTACTAAAAATTTTAACTTATACATGTAGCTTGCATTATATTTCTATTGGACAGCACTGATTTAGACAAATACCCTCCTGAACTGAATCACATTCACATGTGTGTGAACAGGATAGCGCATTCCGCAAAATTAAAAAGTAACAATGGTTTTCAGTCTTCTTTCTCACACTCAGACACCTTTCCCTAGCAAGTTTACTATGAAGAAAGAATCTGGGTTTCTCTTGCCAGAGCTCACTTGCTCAGAGATTTTTATTAAAACAGTTCATCTGAACACTCAGGTTTATCTGAAAGCTGCACACCACGCCTCTGAAATATTTAACACTAGAAATTTTTGCGCCAGAATTGAAACTTATAAGATTTCTAAAGAGAAATGTGAGGAGTGGTTGGGTTTTCTGATTTTAGTCAGCTTGCTGCTTAAAATAAAGACATAAAACAAAGTTAAAAAATCAGTTTCTTCCTAAAGCTTTTTTCACTGACCATCCTAATTAAATTTTCACTTTCTTTTGCATAGGGAGGCTGCTGAGGTACGGCAGAGGGTGTCAGGGATGGCAGAGCCAGCCCAATAAACTGAAAGCTGTCGCTAATGGGCTCCAATGAGTCCTGTCATCTATTTGAACTTGAGTTCACCCACTGGGTCTAGGGCTGCTTGATGAAAGTGTGGAAAATGGGCAAATGTATTTCTACCTGCTTCATTGAAAAACCACATTTATGACCCAGATGAAACAGCTGCCAAATGATTAGTACATCATGCTCAAAAGAGTCAAGAAATTATATAATCACTGCCTGGAGCTAATCCAGAGACTTTAGATTAGATGCTTACCATGAGCTCTATTACAATTCCCTGGAATAGGGTTAAGCCCTGGGTGGCCCAGGACGCTGCCAAATATGTAGGGCAGCATCCACAATGATGAGGCCCTTCAAAATCATATGGGAGACTGAATCCTGCAGCCTTTTTGTATAATAGATGGGGAGAGTGAGGGCATGTATTATAGGACTGGGTCACACTGTGGAGCTGAAGCACAGTCCAGACTCAGAGCAGGGTCTGCCGTTCTCAGAGGCAGGGAAAACGAGCCTCAGGTCAAGCGAAACAGAGATTTCTCCAATTAAGAAAAAGAAAAGAAAAGAAAAAAGCTACTTCTTTTGTAAAATGTCTTCCTCACCTTAAGAAGAAAGGTGCTATTGGAGCGTTTTATTGTAGTAACATAGTCAAAGGCACAAGAGGTCAAACCGTGTAAAATGGCCCGAGTTTCGCGTAGCACAGTAAGAATTCTGTGATTCCTCACAATTCGGATCCTAGAGTCTGGTGTCGATACTACGCTGCGCCCCCTTTATTACCAAGGGCTCTTCCAGGTAGACTGTCAGAAAGGCCTATCTTTTGGGGAGCTTCGACTCACCGAGGGTCCTTTGTTCCAGTGCGTGGGCCACGGCTTCCTCTCCCCATTTCCTCCCATTTATAAAGCAAACAAGGTGTGTACGCAGTGCACCCGAAGGCTGCATCTCTCCTGCCCGCTCGGTCCCTGCCATGTGGCTTTCAATTAGGTCCTATCTCCAGCCCTGTCCTCAAGTCTCGGAGATATTTCGTATAAATAGCCAAGGCATCCATGAATTTTCGACCTTATGCTCGGCTGTCTCACATGGCGGACACGAAACGATCTACTCCACCTGGATAGGCAGCCGTATGTCGAGCATGGTAGGCGCCTGCACTGCCCCCTCCGAGCTGCCCACCAGGATTGTAGCAGGGCCCCAGCGCTCCGAACTGGCCCGGCGATGTGCGCCCATAGAAGTCCACTGTGGTCTCAACGCCGCCACTGCTGCCACCCGCGGGGGGCGAGGCAGGCCCCGTCAACCGGCCAGCTGCTGCGAAGAGGGCGCTGCTGGCCCCTTGAGAGTACGCGCCGTCGGGGCCCGCATAGGCGGCCGCATAGGCAGAGGGGTTGGCAGGTCGGGTCCCCGCGCACCCAGCGGGCTGGGAG